GCCCAACACGGTCGACGAGGTATGTAGGTCATGGACGAACGACTTGATAGGCGGATGAGGGAGACGGAGACAGGACGCCACGGACGCAACGTGGTGGGGGGACGGAAGTGATGTTGTGTGGCGGTTGCATCTGATGCTGCATGTTGGAATGGAGGGCGAATGAATGGCAGGTGATGATGTGTGATGAAGTGCAAGGCTGTGAGGGTGACGATGATGGCGATGGTGTTTGTTTGCAAGTTTGTAGAGGGCGATGGTGTTTGCAGATGGCGAGGCCAATGCCCGCCAGTTCACCCAGGTACCAGTCCAGGGGATGACCGAAACCAACATCCGCTGAAATCCGCCGGTGCGCGCTGTGGAGTACAGTACCTGTGTAGGGTAGGTGCAAGCTACAGGAAACATGGTTTTCTTGTGCAGCCTTGCTCTCGGACAACCCGAATCCAGAGGATAAAATTCATAATGTGGCAAAATGGTAATAATTCGTCTTATGTATAGAAGCTATATACGGATACGGGCATGTATTTCTTGACGCTTATCCCTGGCATTCCATCACTTTTCATGTCTTCTCAGTGGCAGATGGTGCGCATCAAGACCAAACCCATCGGTCCTCATCCACGGCCGGGGCCTTGGGGGGAATGCAAGCTTGGACAGGCGCCGGCTCAGGTGTTGCCTCGGGAGTAGGCTCCGACGAGAGCTGTGAAGTAAGCGTCGATGTGGACTCGGGCTTGGCCGATGGCGTGGGCGCGGACGAGGGCGTGGAGAGCTTCGGGGTGGACGCAGAGGACGTCTTGGACACAATCTCAGATACAGTCTGAGCGGTTGGCTTTGAAGTCACCTCGGAGACCGACACGGACACAGTCTTTGATGTCGGCTTGGACGTAGTCTCGGAAACAGTTTGAGAAGTCGGCTTCGAAGGCACCTCGGAGACGGAAACAGATGTGGCCTTCGAGGTAGTCTCGGAAACAGTCTTTGATGTCGGCTTGGACGCAGTCTCGGAAACACTCTGAGAAGTCGGCTTCGAAGGCACCTCGGAGACGGAAACAGACGTGGTCTTCGAGGTAGTCTCGCGGACAGGCTCGGGTGTTGGCTTCAATGTAGGTTCAGCGACAGACTCAGACACCGACTTGGATGTAGGCTCCGGCTTGGGCTCAGGTGTTGGCTCAGGCGCAGGCTTCGACGAAACCGGAGAGTGCTTGGGAGCGCCGGGCGCGGGGTTCCTCGACCGGAGACACTCATCCTCGCTGCCAAACGTCTCTTCCTTGTACTTTGCCCAAAGTCCCTTGCGGCAGTATATCACCGTGCCGACGCACGCCTCTGACTGGCCCTCCGTGTTGCCGAGAAACAGCGGATTCCCGCAGCTAGCCAGCGAGTTAAAGTTGGGCTGCTTGAACGGCTTGAGCCCCGGGTCCTCGCGCGAGTCCATGCACGCCTCGCCGCTCGCAAAGGTCTCGCCAAACTCGGCGTAGAACCCCTTTTGGCAGTAGCTGAGGGTGCCGACGCACGCCTCCGACTGGTCCAGCGTGTTGGCGCCAGACAGCGGGTTGCCGCAGCTGCGGATGCTGAAGTCGGGCTCCCGGAAGGGCTTGCGCGGCGCCGGCTCGCGCGCGGCCACGCACTCGGCCGCGCTGCCGAAGCGCTCGCCAAACTGCGAGTAGAAGCCCTTTTGGCAGTACTCGAGCGTGCCGACGCAGGCTTCCGACTTGTCATCCGTGTTGCCGAGGAACAGCGCGTTGCCGCAGTTCTGCAGCGAGGAGCTGGCATCCGGCTGCAGAAACGGCCGCAGGGACGGGCTCTGGCGGGCGCGGAGCGGCGTGGCGCCGGCGAGGCTGGCGCTCGCAGCGAGCATGATGGATACCTTCATCTTTGCGGCGGGTGGGAGGTAGTAGTGAATTAAAAGAGCGTGAGTGAGTCGAAAAAGGTCGGACTTGAATGAATGATCACCTTGTTCGGGCTTGGGTCGATCTGGATGTTAGTTTGGGCGCCGCCGGCCGGCTACTTTATATCTCTTTCTTGTTCGGATCAAGCTTCCGCCTTTTTGCTATTACGCCCCTGTGTGTATTGCCCTGCGAGTCATTGATGCGCAGCTTTTCGCCTTGTCTAATTTGATCCATTCATTATTAATACTTTCGACCACGCGGTAATAATATGCCATGGTCATCTTCTCTCACAGACTCCTATAGCAGAACGACTCCACCGTGTATCAGGAGTGGATGTTCCTTCCCTGCGCCTCGTTGCAACATGATACGCGCGTTTCCCGCACCTAGATGGAGAGAAACTGGAAAAGAGACGGGGTGCTGAAGATGTTTTGTAAGAGATCAACCGAGGCTAGCTGCGTAGTTTGTCGATTGGCGTCGTGATTACGCTTCATGTTAAGCATGCTAGTATGCCTTAAAAGGGAAGCTGTAGGATGCATGATATCGAGAGTTCCGGCATTGAGTTTCATCGTAATGGCCTGATTCAAACCAACCCCTGTCCCAATACATTGATGGACCCCAATGTCCAACTTTGTTCGTTGGGACGAGCGACTCGTGACACTGTTGAGCGGAGCCTTCGGAGCACAGCGAGATGAAGCCTATCCACAATTATGCGGCCATCCCTCAGATCATATAAGCTATAATGCAACAGGAAAATCCAGAGTTGTGGCGGCCGGCAGGCTCAGCTCGATTCAGCCCAGTCAGGGCCACAGCTGGTTCATAACAGGATGGGCTGTGTTTTGGGACTTGCTCACCTCATGACGCGCGGCGTGTTATAGGTCGCAGCGAAAAGCAGTGATTTGATGCTATGAAAGAGCTGTAAAGCTACGTTACGTAGGAAAGCACTGCCATATGTTGTGACAGGAGTGTTGCATAGTAATACCAAGAGGAGCTGGACAAGGTACCCAAGCACAAACCAACAACACCAAATGAGCAAAGAAAGCATGCTTAACTGAGACTAAGCTACATAGTACCGATTCATACTACTAGACGAGCATCATCACTGTACTACATTCACATTTCATCAGGCCGTCCATCGCCCATGCCCCCCCCTCTGCCCAGGTCCTACCACGTGCATTCAATCTCAGCCGTGGGCCAAACCTGCCATTTGTCGGTATTACAGTAATAAGCCGCGTCGAGCGAGTAGCACGTCTTGTGGCCCGAGGGGTCCCACCAGTGGCCGCGGCCGCGCTTCCAGTCGAAGCAGACGGAGTGCGTGCCCGAGCAAATCGAAAAGGTCTTGCAGCCGCCGTCAGAGATTTCAAAGATGCTGCACCCGCACTGGCCGCTCCACCGGAGAAACGTCCTCCAGTGTTTCGCGATCGTCCATTGGGCCGCAACGTCGACGCCGAACCGGCTGTCCGGGCAATCATCAATTGCGATGCAGCCCCGCGCCGACAGCGTGTTCAAGGCCTGGCTGGCCGGGGATCCGACGTACGAGATGCCCGAGTCGAGGTCGGCCGGGTGTGCGAGGGGCTCCTCGGCCGCGATGGGCTGCTCGGCCGCGATGGGCCCGGCAAGCAGCAGGCTTGCGACGGCAGCGGAGAGAAAGGTGAGCTTCATCTTGGGTTGTTGCGTTTTTTTGTTTTTGCGACTGCGAAAACAAAAGTGTTAGTGTGGCCAAAACGTGTGTGCTGAAACGGGGCGAGACGAACAATGGAAAGGCGACAAGATTGCGGTGACTCGGTCAACACTTTAGAGCGGCTTATTCTTCTTCTCAGTTGCGACTTGTCTGTGCTTTATACCTCTTTCGCTTGTTTGCTATCAAGCCGTCCATGACGTTCATCAGCCCGCATCTTGTCTTTAACCTTTGTATCTGACGGCGGGGTGAGTGGACCTGCAAACCAAAGTCTGGGGCTCGTATCGGGATGGACTTTGTAATCGACCTTTGTCCATTGTTGCAGACGCGGGCGCAATATATTTCAGGAGACGCTCGTGGCGTTACTAAAACCTCGTGAACCTGATTTTGCTTCGTAAAGTCTACCTAATGCTGATTCTTGAAGGAGATGTCGTGAACCTGATTGTGATTTACAAAGCCTACACAATGCTGTTGGTCGGTGCTATGAAGGTAATTTACTTGTTCGTTTATACTGGCATAATCAATCCATGTCGCAGTTCTGACACCATCGCGCCACTCACGGGTGTCAGGCTGTCGGCTGGTAATACGAGTCGGATCAGGCACACACACACCTTTGATCGTGCTACAGGGTCCTAGCGTGCCATCCCCTCTACAGATTGGCGATCATTTCCTTCTTCTCGACAGAACAATGAAGACGGGATTCTTGGCGTTTGCTCCGGCGTTGGGGGTTCCCGCTTCTTTGTGTCCGCGTCCCTGTTGGGGGTTGAGCTCCGAGCTTGGTGGGGAGATGACGTTTGGCGGGACAGACAGTCAATTGCGCAAGCACCAACACGTTACATTCGTATTCTAACCGGACCTCTACTAGCAGAGCAAATTCGACCTTTCGTGAAATCATACCGTGGGATGTAGCAAGATACATGCTCAACGAGATTATTACGAGCCCATTGGTTCTGCTTATGCCTCTGCACCAAACCCTCGATCACTGTCCGCCTCACGAATAAGCAGTTCAATTTCTTGGCTCGACCTTTATTCTTTGAATCGGTGCCCGCAGCAACCTCGGCTAGCTCCCGCAACAGGTATTGTGCTTTGTCCTCGACAGTCTCGGTCAAAGATCAGCTGCAACCAGTCTGCGAAGGCGCGGGACGTACACAGCAGCGGTGGACTGGCAACTGGGGTATGTGAGTTTTATTCATCATTGTTACTAACCTTCTACCCATCATTTCTGGTTTGCCAAAACTCAGATATACATCGCTAGTCTCTGTTTTGTGCGCATTCGTGTCTTGTCCTCCCATTCAAAACGCTATGTTGACTTTGCACGTTGTTGCACCAATTTGCAAAAAAAGAAAAAAGTACCAGGAAAAACATGAAAAGAAAAGAATAACCATAGTACAGACAGGTAAACTGAAAACACGAGTAGAGGAAATTCGTTGCTGCCGGCTTCATAATTGCCCTTATCGGTCGACGGCGTTGGCGCCAGGAGGTTGCACGGGCAAGCCGTGTTTACGGTTGCTGCCCTTGATCTCTTGCGCCGGGATCTTGATGTTGGCTTGCGCCTCGGGGACAGCGGGCTTCTCCTCGTCATTCTCGTCGGCGTCTGCCGGAGTCTCTCCAGGAGTGGCAGCCGGCGTTGCCTCTTCCGTAGCGGTCGCGCTCGAAGTAGCGTCATCGGTCTCGTCGGCAGCGGCATCGGGCACAGCGCTCTCACTTACAAGAGGCTGGGATGTCAACGCTTCCTTGACGGAGCGTATGCGCTCATCTTCTTCGGTTTGCTCCGCATCAACGTCTACGCTGACAAGAGGCTTGGACTCAATCGACTCTTTGACGGACTGGATTCGCTCATCCTCGTCCTCATCCAAATCGGTGTCCTGCTCGGCTGCCTTCGCGGCTTCTTCGGCGACTCTGGCATCCTCTTCCGCCTTGATGCGAGCTTCCTCTTCAGCTTGCAGTCTGGCCTCCTCCTCAGCCTTGAGCCTTTCTTCTTCGGCCAATCGAGCCCTGTCGTCCACGATAGCCTTGAGACGGTCGGCATCAAACTCGTCCGTGACATCCTCGGCGGCCACCTTCCACTGGACAACCTCTTTAAGGCTGCCCAGCTCCTTGGCGGCGGCGGCAGCAATCTCCATGCCGCGATCCTCAATCCGCACGACAGTATCCTGAGCCTCGAGCAGGGTCGGGTGGGTGACAATCAGCTGCTTAAGCTCCTCTGTCCAGTCTCTCAGAGTGCTCTTGAGCTCATGGTACTTAGCCCAGTCCTTGTAGGTGACACCATCCGTCCACGCCCACTTCATACCAATTTGCTGCAAGGCCAGGCTGCGGGTCTCGTCGAGAATGGCAAAGTGAACGTCTGATGCAGCTAGAACAGTGCTCTGCAGGTCCTCGTCGTACTGTTCACGCCAGCTACGGATAGCCTGGGCCCTGGATTTGATGACGAAGCCAGCCGTTCTAACGACTTGGATGGTCTCCTCATTGATGTCGATTTCAGCTCCTTCGAGATGCTGTGAGACCAAGGCGTTGATCTTGTCCTTGATATTTGTGAGTTCCGTTGTGATTGCATCCTCTAGCTGTTGAATAAGCGACAATCCAACGCTGGCCTCGTTGTCAATCATGTGACGAGAAATTTCGTCTACGCTGTCTTCGATTTCAGCGGCGCCCTGTTCGGCTTGGGCGGCAAACTTTTCCTGCCACGACTCCAAATCCTGGGCAACCATTTCGCGTACTTTTCGCTGTGGATCAGTTTCGTTCTCCTCAGGCTCCGGGGCCTCGACGGGACTACGGCTAGATCCGTATTCGACTTGCGACTCGGGCTGTACAGGCTCATCGCTTCGGTCGTTGCTGGCAGCCTCTGGCGTAGTATTCTGGGAAGTAGGCTTGCTCACATACGATGACTGAGTGGCGGATCCGGTGGTTGAGCTGCTATTTCTGGTTAGAATACTGGGGCACAGTAGACACAGTAGATACCATGGTCAAAACGTACGTGAAGGCAGAGGACGAGGTACTGGACGATTCGTGCAGAGCTTTGCTTTTTGTGTGCGACTTGTAACGTCCCAGACGTTCACCAATGCGCATAAGCTGCGGCTCCACGTTCTCGATGTAGACGACGCGGAGCTGAGGCCAAACTGTGCGATCGAGGAAGGCGTTGGTGTTTGTCCATGTCCACTGGGCTGTCGGTAGCACCGTGCTGAAGGCGAATTTGTGCGAAGTCTCGTAGCCCTGGATAGCGTATGGCTTGGAGAATTCGTACGCAGGGTAGACGATGCTATTAACGGCGTAGAGGGACTGCGCCTTGGCGACAGTGTAGTAGGGTTCAGTCAGCGCGACAGCCTTGGAAACGTGAGGCGCGAGCAGCCTTTCGTACTGCTCCTGCGTCACGACCTGCAGCTGGGCGATGCGCGGCTGTCCATTGACCTCCCACTGGGCCAAGGCGTAGTCGCGGCCTTTGACGGCCCACGGCTCGCCATAGTGGACGGCATAGTGTCGGACGGGCGCAATCACGTTGGTCTTGACCGTGTCGTAGTAGGGCTGCGCAATTACGACGTAGGGCGCGGCATACTGGTCATAATAAGGCTGTACATGGGGCGCGACGGCATTCTTGACTCGAAAGTAGTGCTGGCAGACAAAGGGGGACGTCTCGTCGCATTCTTGGAGCGTGGGCGGGCATCGGAAGAGAATGGTGAGGATGGCGGCCCATGTGGCGAGGCTGGATCGACGAATTAGCGATAGTCCTGGCAGAGCAGCATCTGGCGCTGCAATACCGTGTCGGTAGAAGTTGCTTACCGTGCTGTCAAGCTTATCGACCAAGGGATGAAGCCCGGCTTGGTTGTGATTTTCCGACTCCCGTTTCCTTTTGCGCTAGGCGGCACAGAGCCGTTCGGAACTTGGCCCATGGCGCAGAATTTCTGGCGTACGGGTAACGGTCCGCGAAGTTCGATGCACGAGTGAATCGGGCGCAGGCCTGGCAGAGCGTGAATGAACAGATCGCTCCAGGCGAACGAACGTATAGCTTGGAAAAAGACAGGTTGGCGAGAGAGTTCGAGGCCAGAGGTTTGGCGTGGTGGGTCGCGTTGCAGGTGCCTTGAGCTCTGTCACAGGCTAAATGAGATGCAGGGGCGCAAACTGCTGCAAGCCGCTGCAGCCTGCTGCACGAAAGCTGGCACCGAGGCTGAAGCTGTCGTTGTCTGGGGTGCAGCGATGGAGGCAGGCAGTGCTGTTGAGGGATTTGAACAATTTGAACAATTTTTGAGCAATGCTTTTCGCAAGTTGAAACTTTTTCAAAGCCGTTTGGTCGTCGTCGTTTGCTCACATGCGATGTCGTCTTGCGTCATGTGGAGGCCACCTACAGACAGAGCCGACATGTGCTCGGGAGCACCCATGTACTGCGATTACGTGCGGATTTGCTCACATGTACCTGGCAGCCATGCAACCACTAGGCACCACCTACCCAGGTATACGTACAGCGCGTGGTTAGCACTGTAGCCACTGAAGATCACCACTGCATCTGGCCTACAAGTGGCAACGGCCGCCCAGAATGATGTAACAAAACAAGTCTGCTAAGCAAGAAACAAGGATGAAAATAATAAACTAAAAACTATATACATGTTTGTGAACTATTATTACCACGTACTATCCGCGTTTTGTTCTTCGTTGCCAAGGCACTAGTGCTACTGCCTACACGTTATCCTTCGCGTCCCGGCTCACACTAACAAAAGAAGTATATCGACGTGCGATTTGATAAAAACTTGCCTTTATTTCTTATACAATCATACTTTTTTGACTTGTTCTTTCATTACTTCCACCCATCTAGAGCATATTTCAAGCGCACCATCGCCGCCGCGGTATCTCGCCACGTGACACAATTTCAATCGAGGCCGAGGCAAGATCTGACTAGGCCAAATTAGGCACCTAATTCTTGGGAGCAACAAACTCACATCCATGTCGTGTCAAAGAGACAGCTTCAACATTTTTCTTGATCTATCGTTCCATATTTCATCAGGACAATAGTATTTCCGAGCACACATTTTAAAGGTTTCACTCCATTCCTCTATTCGAATGACTGGCTCGTACATATCAAGTCCGTTGGCAAAGTGGCTACATTACCACGCATCTCGGACTTGACGCGTTTGATCCGCTCAACTTTTGCTTCAGCCATGGAATCTCCTCTAGGGAGTACCGATATGCACGAAAGACTGCATTCGACTCCCCCGGAAATATCCCCGCAGTCACTCCATCCGGGTACGCCGCAAAGTGCGGATTAACATACTCCCAGCAAACATACCCATCCACCGTCACCTCGAATAGCCTCCCGAACGCGCTCTCGCACAGCAGCGTGTTCCCATTCGCCAGCCGCTGCGCGCTCCCCATGAATGGCGTAAAGAAATTCACCATTTGCGAGCGGTCGCGGTATTCCCAGACAATCGACTTGGTCGCGCGGTCTACTTCGATAGCACGCGTGTATGTGACGGACTCGCCGTTGCGAAAAGCGCCATTGTCGAAGATGAGAATGTTTCCATTGTCTAGCTCTGTCGCGTTGTGCTGCTGCGCGAGGATCTCGGGGCCGATGCGCCACAGGATGTTGCCCGTGGACCGCTCGATGATGATGACGGCCGAGACGGACCGCAGCGACGCGAGAATGTTGCCGTCGCGCAGCGGTAACACCGAGTTGATCAGCGGATAGTGCTCGCGCGTGTAGTGCGCCTGCAGCGGGTATTCCGCCCTCGGCAGTCGCTCAGACACCTTCCACTCCCACGTCAGGTTCCCAGCCTGGTCGACTTCCCTAATCGTATCCGCGTACGTGATGCCGTCAATTTCGCTATCAGGAACACCTCCGACGACCTTGGCCGACTCCTCCTTCGATAGGGCTTCCAGGGCCGTGTACAGAATCCCGCCGTCGCCGCAGTGGTACTGGTCGTGGTGGCCAAGCGGATCGCTGAACTGCCGCACCACGTTACCGGCCGGGTCCAGCTCGGACATGATGCCGCCACCGTACTTGTTGAAAAAAGGAAAGGGAAACGGTCCGCCGTCCGCCGTTGTTTCTTTGGTCGGAGGTCGGAGCGTGTTGACGGCCAGGTTTCCATTGGGCAGGATGCGGGCGTGCCGACCAACGCGGCCGGGGAGCGTCCATGAATGGACCTCGTCACCGTTAATGTCAATGAGATGGGCCGTAGCACTGGTCAGAGGACAGAAGAGGGTGAAGCCGCCATAAGAACGCTGCTTGTCCACCCCAGTGAGGCCTACGCCCCGTCTCTTGAGTGTGTTTTGTTCCATGATGGCAAGCAAAAAAAGATGCAAGATGAAAGACACTTGCCGAAATAATTGAGCAATCAATTGCCAGGATTGCAACGATGGCGAATTGATATAATAAGTATTTCATCATGCTGCCACGAGCGCCAGCCGTCGGCATCCCGTAGGCGAGCCGGCGGCATGCCGGCGGCTTCGAATTGGAGGCGCTCGAGGCCCACCGCCAACAGGTGCCATCGCAGACAGAGCTGATAAGCACGTCATTTGGGCTTTCATGTTATCTTAACCCTCACAAAGGCTTGTGAGCTGCCGTTTCATGATACTATTGAACACTTTGTCACTCAAAAATGTATAAAAATGAGACTGCCACCCGTTGGAGGGTACTGGTGGAAGTCAAGCAAAAAGCCTCTCATCGTTACGACTTACGTTGATGTGTTGTCAAGTGTCGAAATAAGCTGTTGACAAGCCATGACAACCATATCAGAGAAAGGGTCGCTCGCGCGCTCTGTTGTCGACGAGCACAAGGAGGCGACTTTCGCGGACAGGACCATTGACGTTCCCGGCTACGATGCCCATCTCCAGTTCTCCGCCGACGAAGCCCGCAGCGCCCTGCGCAAAGTCGACTTCTTCATCCTCCCTCCCATCGTGCTCTGCTTCTGCTTCCTTCAGTTTGACCGCAGCAACATTGGCAATGCCCTCACGGACAGCCTCCGCGCCGACATCCGCGTCGGCAACACCGAAGTCAACCTCGCACAGACGCTCTTCACCGTCGGCTTCGTCATCACCGAGCTCCCGTTCAACATGGTCAGCAAGGCCATTGGCCCGGAGCGCTTCCTGCCCATTACCATGTTCCTCTGGGGCAGCGTCACGTGGGCGCAGGTGTTCATGACGAACGCGGCTGGCCTGTACGCGTGCCGGTTCTTCATCGGCGCGCTGGAAGGCGGCTATATCCCGGGCTTTGCGCTGTACATTTCCAAATTCTACACGAACCAGGAGCTGGCGCTTCGTTACGCGATTTTCTGGGCGGCGAATAGCTTTGCTGGCGCGTTGGGCGGGCCATTGTCTATAGGGCTTCTGTCACTCCGTGGACGAGGTGGCCTCGCAGGATGGCAGTGGCTTTTTCTGATTGGTATGTCAAGCTCTGCATCTGATTCCAGTATCGAGTCTAACGAGAACATAGAGGGTGTTCTTACTTGCGTCTTGGGTATCGCCGCGTACTTGTACTTTCCCCATAACGCAGCACGCCCCAAGACCCTGTTTGGCAAATCGTGGTCCGTCTTTACACCACGGCAGGCCTCCATCCTCGTCACGCGCGTCATACGCAACGACCCGACCAAAGCCATGCGCTACGGAAAGCCCGTCCTGCCGTCGCACATTCTCGACACGTTCTGCGACTGGCGGCTCTATGGCCACCTCGTCGCCGCCCTGCTCTCCATGATCATGATCTCGCCTATGAACACCTATGCGCCCTCCATCATCAAATCGCTCGGCTTCACATCTCTCCAGGCCAACGGACTCAACTCTGTGGGCAGCATCTGTGCCTTGGTGTGGTCCGTCACGCTCGCCTTGAGCAGCGACCGCTTTCAAGAGCGCGGGTTCCATATCGCGGCCGGGTACCTCTGGGGTGCCGTCGGTCTCTTGTGGCTCGCATTAGCACCTGCCGACGTGGCAAAATGGGTGTTGTACGGTATGTGGTCAAGCTCTCCGCCTGCGATGAAGTCCTTGTTCTAATATGCGCCGCAGGAGGTGTCGTTTGGACGCAAATGGGGATGGGCAGTGCCCAGGCCATCAGCGCCGCCTGGCTAACTGCCAAGATGGACGACTACAAGCGGCCAGTTGCCTTGGCCGCGTACGTCATGTCCATTCAGCTGGCGAATTTTCCTGGAAATCAATTATTTCGCGCAAAGGGTATGATCAAGCAGAGCATTGCATGCGCTACGCTAACAAAGAGTCAGATGCACCTCGTTATAAACACGGCTTGCTTGTGGCGGCTTCTTGCGCAATTGCCGCCACTGTCGTTATTCTTGTCTGGAAGTTGCTGTATCGACTGTTTGATGGTGGAGATTCCGGCGTCGAGGCAAAAGCAAATTTACAGGATCGAGACACAGAAGTAGGCGTGTAAATTGATCTTGTCGGTCGATCTTCGTTTGGTATTACTATAGAAGGGTACCCGGGTTAGTCTGCACCTCGCGGAAACCCAGCCCATTTAGTGTGAAGTTTATTTCCAACATCCGTTATCCCACCTATTCAAGTTGAGCCGTAACCAGCATTCAGTCGAGCTGCGGAATCCCACTTGGTGAGCCGGCCAAATGTCCGAAAAAAAATGAACCATACTGAACTGGTCGTTGGTGCAGGCACACGCTCCAACACGCTGGCAGCTCAGTTGGTGACTGCGAGCGGGCATTGAAGATCGCTGCCGTTTATTCGCTCGGGCGCTGTCCGCACAGTATAATATCTGCTGGATCTCTCTCTGCCTATCACCGTGCAGTCAAATCGCCGCCACTAACTGGCCGTGGCGTGGTCAAGATTGCGCCATTCTTGTGGGGATCCAGTATCTACATAGTTGTGAGATAAGACGAGAGCGACAAGCTGGTTATTCATATCCATATCAATGCAAGTTGCAAAGCACGTTCCATCTCGAATTATAGCCTCTGCCATGCCACCACTAACGTTGGGGAGAGCTTCCAAAGCATGTGTTTTGTGTCGAAGGCTCAAGACCAGATGCTACGCCAAAGACGGCATCCGGAACGCCTGTCTCCGCTGCCACACCCTCTCTCTCTCCTGTTCACTAGAAGACGTGTCCGACTCAGATTCCTGCCAATCCCCGTCTGCCGGGCGGAGGCGCGGCCGCCGAGACAGACAGCATGGTATCCGCCGGCCATCTACAGACTCAAGGTGAGCCGCCCACGCCTCGACCTACAGCAGTTGCAACAAATTGACCTAGCTGCATAGACTGGAACGCCTGGAACAAACTGTCTCGGCTCTAGTCGATCGCCTGGATGCACAAGCTCAGAACCGTGGGACGCTGACGAGGGCAGTCCAAGCTCGGACGGAGGAACGCGCCCCGGCCGAGGCGAACCCGGCGCCCGTCCTTTTGATCCGTGACGCCGCGACCGACGCCGGCGTTTCGCCCCCAGGACAATTTGACTCAATATCTAGCAGCACCAGCGATGTCATTTCCTCTGGGCTCGTCACGCTGGCCACCGCCCACTCGCTGCTCCAACTGTCCGTCTGATCCCGCCCGCCACCCCGCCCTCCTTTGCTAACGCGGGCCAGGTTCCGCGTGCACTACGGCCGCTGGGTGCGCTTCTCCGAGCACACGCCCACAGAAACCCTCCTGGAGCAGGTCAGGCAGTCGCCGCTCCTGCTCTGCAGCGTGCTGTTGATCGCCGTGCGCCACACGACGCAGGCGCTGGCCGACGAGCTCGCCCCGCGGCTCTTCCGCGACGCCCAGCGGCTGGTGTCGCGCGCGCTGCTCGTCGCCGCGCAGCCCGCGGCGCACTTCCAGGCGGTGCTGATCCTCAGCCTGTGGTCCACCACGGTCGGCCAGCAGCCGCTGAGCATCGACGGCTGGCTGCTCACCGGCTACGCGCTGCAGCAGGGGTTCGCCTGCTTCCCCGGGCGCGGCGGCGGGCAAGACGCCGAGCAGAAGGACGTGGATGCCGCCTGTCTCTGGAACCACCTCTGCGTGGCGCACCTGCAGTACTGCGTCGGCACGCGCAGACAGGCCCTGCTGCGCCAGGAACACGTCGATCGATGCGCTCACCCGGCCGGGACGGGAAGCCTTGGAAACTACGAGGCGCGCATGGTGGCAGAGGTCAAGCTGTACTGGGTCATGTATACAGAGTGCTGCCCGCAAACCGGCCCGGTGGATGTGCAGGCGGCCAAGGCTGCTCTGCAAGAATGGAAGAGGGAATGGGCGAGCTTGTTTGAGGAGCCGCGTTCGCAGTTCCTGCAGATGGGCTTTCACTTTGCGCACCTTGTGGCTTACTACCAGTCTGCCCGCTCGCCGCAATCGTCCATGGATACGTCCGTCATGCGAGAAATGGTTGATCTGTCCAGCACCATCATCAACCTCGCCATGGACACGGCGGATGACCGGACCCGCCACCTGACGGACCACATCTACCACATCATCACGTTTTCGGCCCTCACCCTCTGCCGGCTCGTCCACACGTACGAGGAGCAGCTGCGCATGGACAGCGTCAGTGTCGATGGCCTCGATGGTCTGGTGGCGAGACTCGTCCGCTGGCTCCGCTGCATCGGTCTGCCGTGTCATGCGGCGCATCTGCTGAGCGATGTGGTCGCCTCGCAGTTCCAGAAGCTGCGCCCCGAATATCAGGCGTCCGACGCGGCCGCGGGTGTCACGACGCAGTATAGCCTGTCGGCTTTGGATGCCGCGCTCTTGTCCTCCAACATGGGGTTCTACCCCGACCTGATCGGATCGGAGCTGTTTGGCATGGACGACGGAGTTGCCTCGTGGCCGCAGTGGAGTTGAGCGCGTGAAAGCTGCCGTGGAGACGCAGGACGATGGAAGCGTCGTGGCTCCGAGAAGGAAAGTGAATACTAGGAACCGATAAATAGGTGGAGGGACTAACGGATGAGGAGAAGAGGCCCGCCACTTTCTTGCAGTATACGTTCACAGCAAGTACCGCATTGTACATGGAAACGGCCTCGGCGTGTCTACCGAAGATGAGATAGATGCACTCCATGCATCAAAAGCTGCAGTAGCGCAAACGCAATTTAATTAAGCGCCGAGCAAAGGCGGCTTCAGATGGACTATGCAGGTTGACGATACACGCAGCTCAAGAGCCGCTTCCGACTTTACTCCTCCTCTCTGCGTTTCCCTATCTCAGTGCCCATTTTGCCGCAGACCGACACAGGCAAGATCGTCTGACCTAAATAAAGAACTCTCCGGCATCCCACCCCCGCGCCGGATCCCACCAATGATGAAACGCTGTGCCCGGATAGCGTCGACGCCACACCCAGCGGGCGCGAGACAAAAAGTCCTTGAAACATTGTAGGCTGAAGTTCACGTGGCGGGAGGCGTTGCTCAGTGAAGCGTCTCTGTCTTATAATGGCTGGCCGCCCATCTTTTCCCCCCGCTCATCTCTGCTTTCCATCAATCTACACGCTTTACCAACCGAACGAACCTTGGGCTCGTGCCCCTTTTCCATCGTGGGCAAGATCGAACTAGGAATGCGTCCTTTATGAGCACACACGCGGCACCGATGGCGACGGGCCAGGCGCTGGCGCGGGCGCTGGGGTGGGCCACGTCGATTGCGGCCATGGTGGTCATGGGCTTCGTCGCGAATCGATGGCCGGCCAAGATTGGTTCCATCGCGGGGGGCATGGTCGGTGTGAGCACGATTTCTATTTTTTCTTCTTCTTCTCGCATCCATCTCGTCTCCCGGCACTGGCTGCGTTGGAATAGCATCATGGACGGGTTGGATCGACGCCAAGATGGATGCAAAATGCGGGGGTGGAGAACCCCGTGCTAAACCGGCCGGACGCCAGAAGAAGGCTCCGGATGGGAAACATGCCTTTGTCAAAAGACTAACTTGTTTTGTTTGCTGAAAAGGTCGCCATGGCGCTCCTCAACGACAGCTGGCAGATGCTGTCGATTGCGAACCGCGCGGTGGGCTTCGCGCCGCTGTCGCCGCAGCGCGCCATGCTGCACGACATGGTCGCCATGGCCATTTGCATGGGCGGCCTCGTGCTCGTCATCTTTACCGGCACGAGCCCCGACACGACCGACGCGAGCTACGACGTGCGGTATGCGCTCGACAATGCCCAGTACGGCGCGGCCTTTACGCTGCGGCGGCTCATGAATGCCGCGCACTGGTTCCTGGTCGGCGTCATGTAAGCTGTTGCTCGTCTTTTTTGTTTTCTTGATGGGCGGGCTGGGCTAACGCGCGAGGAACAGACTATGGCGGTTTGTGTTTGCGGTATGGGGGTGCTACGATTGCGTGAAAATGGCGACGCCGGAGCAGCAGAGGCTGCGATATCGACGGCAGATGGAAGAAGCGCAGGCTTATGATGCGTGATGTTTCAGCTTGGACGTCTGGGTGGGATCTAATTCGTAGTCTACTGCTAATATCCAAATGCATTTTTCCACATTGTCGGCCTTTCAGCCCGTCGTGGTTCCCGTATAATGGACGGCGTCTTGCGCAAATGTGCCTCGACTTGTCTCGTAGTGCATAATCCCATTACTTCCTGGCATGTCTTTATTGACGCAAAGAATCGCGAGTACAATAGTATCCGGCAGTTCCCCCGCAGGGGTTGAGCGCACCGGACATCCATAATCACCAACTGAGACACTCCTATTGCGGTTCTTCGAAGTCAATGTCTCAAAAATACGTCTGGCCATTAACCTCGAAGCTCCCCAGAGAAGATTAAAAAAATGGATACGCCAGAGCACCTGCCTGGCAATGAGTTCATCAAGTAAAATCTGAGGGCGAAAGACGACGACCGTATCCACGTCTCCGTCAGCGAAAGGGACCTTGGGAGACAAGATCATCCTCAAGTGCAACGGCGCATCTGTATTGGCGTATTCGGAACCTTTTGAAGAGGTCACCATCTCCCGCGAATCTGCGGATACCATTTTGGCGTTCCTCGGTGCTCCTCTTCCAGGCATCCTACCGAAAATGCCCATGCTGTTGAACTCGTAGATCATGAGCCCGAATTTAAACGTGGGCGTTGATTTAGGTCCGCGAGTCATCGGGAATAGGATAGTTAGTTTCCTTGTGTTTTTATCGACTTGTAGGTTCATCTACGCCAGGTTCGCCAGATCTTCCACCAAGCATGCCCGCGTTAGTCCTCGTGCTTGGCAAACACTACATGGGACCCCGTTCGTGCCAGCTAGGAAATTCATCTATTTATATAAAAATACAGTATGGATGCAAGTGTCAGCTTCTCCTTGGCCAGATGCACGAGATCGCTCACTTGCTTGCGACGTCGAAGCGGCTGCTGGATGTCACAGAACCTGGTCCTGGAAAAGACTTTGCACTTGTGTCTGGCCAAAATACAATCCAGGGTCTTTCGACTTTCTTGCAACTATCCAGTTCTTTTTGTTTATCGTCCTTGCATCTTTTTGTAGCCGTGGTAAGTGTGGCGAATAAAGGGCTCGCCAGAACGTGGTACGCCAACGCCCACTCTCCGTTTGTAGCACTCATGCAGCTGCATCCTCCCCATCGGTTTTTTCTATTCGGCTTCACTCTTGCATCATACAACTACTTCTCGCCATCTCGCCTCCACTCTTTTGCATGAATGGACTCTGTAGCAGCAAGACCTGTCCGTCAAGCTGCGATTGTCCATTCTAGAACGATTACCACGCCACGACATCCTGGCCTTGGGGCCTGCTGCAGGACCTCGTTTGCGGCAGCAAGGCCTTTTCTCTACTCTGATATTCGTTTTGCAGGGACCTCGAAATTCTGACTAGATGTTTGGGTCTGCCGAATTCTTTGCACTTTAGTGACTAACCCGACTTCACCTTCTCGACAGCAACTTCGACGCCTGCGATGTTGCTTCTTGGTGAACAAAATTCCCACCTTCAACGTTGAAACGCTCCTTGAATACAAGGCTCGCGAATATATTCAAATTATTGACATCTCTCAAGAGCTCAACATCTGCATAGGAAGCTTTCTCAGGGGCACATCGCGGCAGAGGTGCCGGAAACTCAAGATGGCGTTGGCCGCAAATTTGACAGCCGAGCAATTCGAAAGATGCGCCGCCACTCTTCTATCTCCCTTCAATATATACGATTGTGGTGACTACTTACAATCCCGCTGCGTTTCCTGGCCGGTCAGTGCACCAGCACCACACGTCCTCTCAACTCAAATTAGACGGTTGCCTGAGCAAAGTCCGGCTCCTCTCGCAACCACGACTTTTCTGGAATTTTCTAGGGCTCTAGTAGTGGGTAATTGACGAATACCGCGCTGAATTTGTCGATCTAAACACGGCTACAGCAGCAATACAACCTCTGCAGGACAGTCTCGTCGAACCGTCATCGGCGCTCATTGTGCCCTTGCCACATGTGAACTGGAATTGCCATATGCATGCCGACATTCTAGCACCCCTGGCCGGTATGGGGGACTTTTATTCGCCGCAAGGGCTTACTGTGCCGTGGATATTTCTCATGGGTCTGCCCTTCGCACGGTCAGTTCTAGATCGGTTGCCTCGAACCTGCTGACGCTCGAATAAACGCTCAACTCACGGACAGGCTACATCCAAGCAATCAGTACAACTGGACCGACAATGGGATAATGGAGCATACGACATCGATGACAATGAGAACCCCTGCGCCGTGGAAGAGGCTCTTCCTTATTCACCGCCTCAAAGGGCCAGCGATGTGGTCCCGAATGTGCGAGAAGGAATTATGGGCTGGACTGGGGGAGACCAAGTACGACGATGACATTTGGACTGGGTTGAAGGCTCTGCGTCGCAATTATGGTATTCATGTGTATTGGACCCAGGACTATGGATGTCGCAGTGAATGTTTTCACAGCTCGATGTGCAGGGCAGCTTGACTGCGTCACGCATCTATTTTCCATCGACTTGCGCAAGACGTCGGCAGCTTCAGAGGATCTTGAAGCCTCGACCTTGAATATTCCATCCATCCTGCGACCTCGCACTATCTCTTGTCACTGTTGGCGAGCCACGATTGCCGCTGCATGCAGCAAAATAAATCTGACGCCTCCTCCCGGGTAGCTCATTTGGTGATCAGGGACACAGGCGCAGAAGAGAGCGTCGAGAAGACTGGCTGCGACTGGCCTGTCAGTCGTTCACCTGTCGCCAAACACATCTACTTCAAAGCGTCTACGATTCGAAAATTGTTTCAAAGCCTGCATTACGCGCAAGTCACATGCTTCGACAGGCTCCGCGCGATGCACCGCCGGCGGCTACAGACTGCGAACCTGTGGTCGCATCCGGGTGGTTCTGGGAATAAATTAAAAGACACTGCACGTTTCCGGTGCGGAGTTCTTGCACTACATCGTGTGCACGTTTGAATGAAGCATCGTGAGCCTATCGAGGTACGCCGCCGCGGTATAGTCGAAACACGGTGCGGATCGCACCAGGACGGTGGCGCCGGCGTTGGCGGCCGACGATTCTGTAACAGATGTGCAAATGACGGCTCGAAATAGCAGTTCCTGACCCGTTGGGCGGCCGAATTGGAGTTTGACGAGCGAGCCCACACGCCCATGAACCCAGAGACTCGGATAGGGCGCTTGCTGGCACCAGGAGAGTCTCGGCGATGGAGGCCTGGAACCAGTGAGTTTGACCCCAGCGGGATCAGCTTATTCGCCAGGGATGAATCAATAAGGCTGGGGACGGGCCGTTGCGGCGGAGCCAACGAGGCGTGTGCTGAGCCACCGACTAGAGGACACTAGTTAGCCTCAGGTCCTCAGTTTAAGACGGTCTGTCCTCTTCAGCCTTGAGCTACGCTAATGCAATCCCAGCACCGGATCATCTTTCTTCTGCACTGCCTCAATGGCTTGCTTGCTGGATTGCGACGGTTCCTGCAAAGCATCAGCATGGAATGGCGCAGTCACGGCGGAGAGCCGCAAACGCAGGAACAATCGCGAACATGGGAAAGCCCCCGTGACGAGGCTTCTTGCGGCTGGATGGTTCCCTTAAACGGCAACATCTTTTATTTTCCGCGACCAAGGAGAGCAAGGAGGCCTCACAAGCCACGGGCGGATTTTCGACGACGCACCTACGTCAGGGAGAGCAGCAGACAGAGCAAGGGACGAGCAAATTTTTCTCGCCTCACACGCCGCTCACACATCGCCCAGAGACAAAGAGAATAATTCCAAAATGGAAAAAGGGGCATGACGTAACTAGGGGTCTGCGTAATGGGCAACGGCGGCCACAATTGTGACCTCTTCGACTCGTTGATCTGTCGCGAAATGGCACGACACCCGTCACGAGCCAATAGCATGGCTGCCAGCGCCGCACGGCAATGTGGGAGAGTCTAATGTGCGCAATTGGGGAAGGAAAAAGCCTTTGGCCCCCTCCGCGTTTCCCTGCTTTTGCTCCTCTCGTGAGCCGTTTTTCCGCCCCCAGATGGAGCAACGCCTATCTCGGAGGGCGAGAGATGGCAGCCAAAGCCAAGAGCAAAAGTGCGCTACAACCTACAACCTACAACGCAGCGACAGGGCTACCAATGGGTGGTGGCCTGTGCCTGCGTGGTCTCCATAACTGTGTCGAAGCTGGTCGGCTGATGGACGCCTCTGACGGTAGTGGTTGTTGTCGGGTACCCTGATTTACGAGGTTTTGTATGCGTGAATGTCGGAAAAGGGTCCTGGGAAGGGGGGGGAAGTGGCGTGATGTTGTAAAAAAAAAAAAAGCGCCCCCAAAGAGTGAGTTGAAAAAAACACTATTGGACTTTTGCGATGCGTTGTCATGATGATCTGCGGTTGGTGTTGAGACATGACGTAGATTGGCAACGGCGTGAAAGAGACTTTGCAACACGCGACTGCAGCCATCCATCTCGCCCATCTCGCAGCGGGTTGGCTCGGGGGTTTCTGTCAACGCCAACTAGTCGCCTTGCTGCACAGCCCCCAGGGCTGAACGGCGGTTGACGGGTAGCATCGAGGCTATACAGCAAAGGGACCAGTTCCCTCCCAGGTACGGAGTATTGATCTGGTGGATCATGGATGGCGTGAGTACTCTGTACAATGATTTCTCATGGCGCAAATGCAAATCATCAACAGACTTGCGATTATTAATTTGCAACTGAGGATTGCGCGTCGCGAGGCGTCGCCTAGCTAGTTCCCGAAAAGCTCGTCCCGAGGCGTCGCCTAACTACTCAAAAGAGGAAAAGAGGAAACAGCAAGGAGACTCGTCAGCCTAAGAAGTGAGGCGAACGGCCAAGCCCAAACAAGAGATTGGTGTGTCCTTGGCCGGCAGCGCATGGCAGAGATTGGCGCAGGCATGACTCGAAAACTCTTTTTCCGACCGAAGAAACTTTAACCTCATGATCGGCACAGAAAATGTGCGTCACAGAAAGTGCTTCTGGGATGCAGGACGCCCGCATCGCCAGGCGTAAACTAACGTTAGTGGCATGCAGCATGTCAAGATGGACGAGATGCATAGGGCGGACGCAGCATGTCAACAGAGTGTGAGAGAATGGTGTGGCTTGGCTTTTGTTTCGACGGAAGGAAATGGAATCACGCAGAGGTCATGAGGGACAAGGACACGACGGCACAATTGGGCGTTGAGACTTGTTCAATTTCTTTGCAACGCGGTGGACGGATGCTGACGGGGATCCTTGCCGGCAAAGTCGGCGAGGAGAATTTGGTCGCTAGGCGTTTTTCGTTTTTCTTGCCTGTCTCTTCCCGGCCACACCACTAACGTTGACCATTCTAGTCTCGTGGCCCCCAGTGTACCAAGACAATTCCAAGGACACAACCACTCACGCGCACACGAAAAGCAGTCGCGATAGTCGGAGGGGGTTGTGATACGTGCCCAGGCAGCCAGATATGCTGTACAGCGACTGACTAGGCGTCAACGTCTCTTGGTGGGTGGCACAGACGAACTCGCTCATGGCCGGCCATGGCCCGGCCGCCGACCGGGTGTCAGTTTCAGCAACCGCTTCTCGTCGTCGAGAATTGATGGACTGGCTCTCAGGTCACGACGGCTCCCATGGTTTTTGTTCAAAAATAGCAGATGAGTGTGCTAATTTTTCCGACTCTGTTTCGATTGCGGCCGCCTCTCCAGGGCAGGGTACCTGTCAGCACCGGACTGGTGCAAAACGCCATACGCTCGCCAGGAAGAGCCAGACCGAACAGTCATCGCATTGTCCGGCACCTCGACCAGGCAGAAACGGCCGCCACAAGGTCACGACCTCAGATGGAGCAGCACGGCCACAACCACCCTCCCTCGTCACCACCATCAAGCAATTCCCACCTGGTCCATACCCCCGATACCCCCCCGCTACCGGCCTCAAGCCACCGCCCCCCGCCGTCGTCCTCGATGGCTGCAACACCAAAAGAAGAGAAGAGAGGCCTCTAGAGGTGGCAGCCGTGGCAGCCTAGGCTACTAGCTAGCTACCTCGCCCTGTCCCACCCGCGCTCTCCGTCCTGTCATCCGTCTCGTCAATCCCATCCTTTTTTTGACATTGACTGACTGACTGCCCACAAAAGTGACCCTTGTCACCTACTTGCGCTTCCCACCCATCTCTATACATTCATCAAGTACCTACCTTGCTACCTCATGCAAGAAACGCCACACAGTCAACTCAACACAGTCAACTCAACTCAGTCAACTCAACTCAGTCAACTTGGTAGACACTAGACACACACCCACGAACAACACACACTCCCCCGCTTCCTGCAACACCAAAACGACTTACACGATTCCCTCTCGACCTTACTTATATCTCCCCTCGCCCACCCTCATCCCCAGCACCTTCCTTCCTCTCACATCATACAAACAAGACTACCTCAACCCAGACTTCAAACCCTACCTGTTCTCTACCCTCTGCTACTCAGCAGAGAGCTTTGCAAGACACATACCCGTCTTCCACCCTCTCGGACCACGCAGCTACTGCTCTTGCTCCCCCATCACCGGGTTCAGCAACAACCCTTCACAATGTGCACCACCACCGTTTACATCCACCCTGATGGCACCCGCATCATCGACACAAAGGGTGCCTATCTTTGCCCGGACTCGCGATACGGAAATGCTTGCCGCGCCCACACCGAGATTCAGCGCGCACTGCTGCCTGCTCATGGGCCGGCCGCCACCATCCACACACCTGTCAGCAGCATCCCCCCGAGCCCACGACACTCGCCGCGTCTCTCCAACCGGGACACAACCTCCCACAGTGACCGACATTCCCGACACTCGTCGGCATCCTCGTCGTCGCGCCTTCAGCGCTCGCCGGGCATCTACGTCAACGGCCTGCGCGTCGCAGAGTCGCACAGCAGCAGCAGCCGGGAGCGCACGATGATGCCGCACCCGCCAACGCCGCGCACGCCGCCCCAGGCGCAACACATGCCGCGTTCCGCACCGTCCTCGCCCTTGAGCAACCTCGCCCCGCCGCACGGCACCTCTCCCCGCGAACGTTACAGCCGACCGTACCACGTTGACGAGCGCGCGCGGGGGCCGCAGCTGGTGTCGGGCTTCCCGCCCTCGCCTCCGCCCAGCAGCTCGTCGTCGCGGCACTCCCGCCAGGCGTCGACCAGCTCCCAGGGCAGCCGTCACTCGTCATCCTCGTATGAACGGGAGGAGCGTCACCGCCGGCAGGAGGAGCACGAGGCCCGGCACAGCGACCGCAAGATGCACGAGCTGCGCGAGCGGGTCGGCAAGGCCAACACGAACATTGCTAGCCGCCGCGACACGTCGGCGTCGGTGCAGCCTCAGCAGATGCAACCGGTGTCGGAGCGCCGCAGCCGGCGCGACAGCGTGCAGGATGTCGTCGTCGACGCCATGGGCCGACTCACGGTCGAGGACAAGAAGTGGACGGCGCGCAAGGCGCACCAACGCGCCCTCGAGCTCGAACAGCAGGAGCTCGAGGCGCAGAACAGGCGTCTCGAGGAGCGGCTGCCAAGCCGACGGGCGACTGTCGGCCCAAGCAGCCGGCGCCATCGAGTCGCGTACGAGGACGGCCACTACCGCTATGAGTAGAGGATTGGAGAGGGGGAATTAATGGGCAAGACCAATACCAACACACAGGAACTACTAGACTACATCGGGATACTACAGAACACACAATGACAGAAAGAACAACAGCAAGCAACTTTTTTTATGGAATTCAGTTTCAGTTGGATAGTATAGACAGCAAGGCCCAGCGGCCGAGAATGACAAGAAAAGATCATGTACAAAAGATTCGCAGCTTCAATATTGCCAGTGACTGTCAAGATGGGCCGTGGAGCATACGACACGACCGGCGTTCCCAAGCCCGTGGCACGGCGCACCCCCGGTTCGTAGTCAGCGGCGCTGTTGACTCACAAAAACCTGCACCTTGCTGCCGGTGCCCCTCCACTGCAGACAATGCCGGGTGAGTAGTTTGAGGGTGGGTGGGGGTGATGGCAGCTGTGTGTGTGGGAGGAAGAACAGTATGGAACGGGGCGCAAGGCAGATCATTGCGATGGATGCCTAGTGGCATTGCTGTTATAGTGAGTGCCAGTCACTAGGTAGTTATGGGGTTTCATTTTGACGATGAAGGGGGTTTTTTTTTCTGATCGCCTGTTACATCCGATTTGTATTGTCCGACGTGGTGCAGTGCAACTATGACTTTTTTCCTTCCCAGGTCAGCCTTGTCCTAACTATGTAGGTAGTTTTGGCAATTGAGCGAAACCAAGGCAGCGAACGACACGTGAGAACGTGACAAAAGTGACGGGTGGAACCGGCTTACAAGACAAACCAATTAGACTGAGGATATTTCTTTTTGGGGGGGGGGGGGGGGCAGTTTCTAGGTACTGAGGTAGTTTGCTAGCGCCGTTAACTTTGTCGTTTTGGTGGCTCTCAGCCGGGATGGCTGCCTGGGGCTGGAGCAGCCGAGGGGGGGGGTAACAGTGGAGAATCCCGCAAGCCCGATGAAAGTCGAAATACTGCGGGACGACAGAGGCGCGCTTCAACTGGTCGGGTGACGGGGGGCACCACAAGCTGCAGCCTAGAGCTGCAAGCCGACGAAAAAAAGAGAGAGACCACGCGCGGTTCTTTGTGCTCGGTGGGCTCGATTTGGGGGCCGCGGGTGCGTCGACGTCATCCGGGACGTACAGCGATTGGAGGTCCATGCTCCGCGGCGCACCGTTGGGGGCAGAGGAAGGGAGGTAGGCGGGGAACCGGGTTGTATAGATGGTGCGTTGGGCGACAAGTGCTCAAGTGTTGTGCGTGCTGACGTGCCTGCAGAGCGAGGCTGCGGCGCATAGGGCTCGAGGCGAGCTGATTGGGGATGATGATGGGCGAGCAGAAGAAGCTAAAGCAGAGACGTTAGAAATATGAGGTTAGTCTGCTCATGTTCAACTCGTTGACAAGTTGTCGGGTATGGGCTTATCCCAGCCGCACATCCCTCTTCCCAGGCTGCGAGTTCACTACCCATGTCTAATATTCTCGTATCCTGGTGCTCTTTTTCGCTTCTCGCTTCGCAGCCCTTTCAGCGGCTTGCTACCGGTATGTGCCGAAGGTGGCCACACGCAGACCTCTAACTACCAGGGTCGTCGTTCACCATGCCATCTTCTGCAGCACGCACCATCTCCATGACAAACAGCGCTGCCATATATAGAGACACACTTTAATTGAAAATCCATATTCTTCTCATCCTGCCAAGAATAGATTCCCATTAACGTAGCCCTTTTCGTCAGGCCTGGGTTGGGCTCCGTTGCAGGCCGCGGAGCCCCACAAATCGGCGGCTTTATCGCCCCCAAAACTATATCCGCATGACGCTGAAGCAGGGGGGGGAACAGCACGCTCAGCAGCCTTGTAGGGCAAGAAAAAAAAGAAAAATAGAGAATTGATGACGTCTGAGACAATCCAAATTGATATTTGCCACTGTGGCACCGCGCTGGTACACGCTGTCCGCGGTGGCGCTGTTGGCTCCCTGTCACTTTGGGTCGCCAACCGATGTTTGCGCTGGCCGGGGATCGTGATGGAAGCAGCGAGAGGCGCACGTTGGCTCGCAACTCGGAGGGAGCCCAGTATAGATGGGGGCAGAAAAAATAATGCGACAGTAATTGCACGCACTCGCTATTCTAAAATTTACAACGACGTACAGATGGTACTGCTTCTGTTTCCACCCGCTCCAAGTTAGGAAGAGAAGCCTCGTCTTCGCACGATTGACCAGCTCTGGTCCAAACACTGACCTGACCACGATTCATCCCAAGGAACTGGATCATGTTTAATAAACAAAGTTGCACGTATTTTACACTGATTCTGATTATTTTTAAATCCTTCCAAAAAATAGTAGTCCCCGGTACAACCACGCTATTCCCCTTTCGTTGTTGAAGACAGCTGCCAGCGATCTGTCCGCTTTTCGGTGGACCAAGCGGCTACTCCCGCTCGTTTCCAAAAAATGCCCGTTTTCCCATTTGAAATCCCCCCGCTGTGCCAAGCAAACCGAATTTCTCCGGTCCATGATGATCGTCTTGTGACTGCTGATCCTGACCACTTTGTGTCTGGTCCAGGCGTGGTGCGGGGCCCAATCCGAGGCGACACAGGCCATCTTGATCCTGTCCATTCGCCAATGGACACTGAGGTCTTTACCGCGCACGACTTCCGCAACGCGGGCCCGAGAATACGGCCCCCAAGCGGCGCAAGCGCAGACTGCATACCCCAACGACACCATCATCACAGTGGTCGTCGACGTGGCCTGTTGAGGAGCGCTGGATGACGCTCGACGACGGCCTGCAGGGGCTCCTCTGGCCCGCGTTCCCCAGGGAAAGGAATGATGTCCGGCACGTAGAGACGGTAAATCTGCCCAAATTACTACCGACGGTGAATCTCGGGGCTTGCACTGCGACGCAAGACCCAAGGAAAGGATCTATACCAAGCCGTAGAGGCAAATGTACCCAAATGACTACCAACGAAAATTATCGAGACTTGGCATATCACAGCCTAATAGCTCGAAACCGCTGTATGAGTATCGCTTTCGTCCTTCCTGACACCCTCCCAGGGGCTCGAGAAACTCAATTTCCCGGAGATACTCGTGGTTCGATCGCGCTGCGGCAATGGCGCTCGCAAAGACAGGCTTGAACCTTGAGGCGCTGCGCACGGCTCTTATGCCAAACATTGCCTCCAAGGGAGCGCCTAGCGTTGGAACGTTTGTCGTGTCTCCGTATAGAACAAGAGTTTGTATTTTTTCCGGGAGCCGTCGGTCCCAGATGGGCTTGCCAAACGGGCGCCGCCGCATGTCCTCAAGCGCAGCCTGTGTCTGCTTCCGACTATGCGAGCCCGGCGCCTCTCCTGCGCCTAGGGGCATGTACCGCTGGCGCAGCCTGACGACGACGCCGTCTTCCTCATATACCAGCGCCACGTTTGTTCCGTACGTGCTGTTGTCGATGGCGAGCACGACCTGTGCGTCCAAGGCGGGGTCGGTCCGTTTCCGGTGGGTGTTGGCGGCGACGGCCATGTCCGCGGCATGGAGGCTCGGACGAGGCTGCTTGAGGCGGAGATTGTCTAGAGGTCTTTACAATGTCTTGCTGGTACTTTTGCGTCTCGGGGGATGGCAGGACAATATCGGTGAAGCAGAATGGTCCATCCAGGTGCGATGCTACGGACTTTTGGAGGGTCGCCAGAAGACCTTGCACGGCATCCACGCCGAAATCTGGCGTACAAAGCGCGCGGTTCAACGGCTCCGGCATCCACCGGGAGCCGTAGCACACTATAGGCAGGAACATTGCTAGCGATGATCGAGTTTTCCGCATAGAGGCGGCATACTGCCGATCGCCCTGGACAGGGCCGATTGTGATGATGGTGTCGTTGGGGTAGTAAATAGCAGCTGTACTATCATACAGTGTGAGCAGCGGTCTTGGATCTCTAGACTGCGGAACTGGTCAACTTACCCATAGTCTGGCGTCAGGTGAAAAGCGACGCCTGGAAGTCCCCAGACGAAGGTTGGCGGAGGGCTGAATTGGTGCAAATTCATGGCAGCAAGCACGGCAAGGATGGGGGCGATGGCTTCTCCTGGAATCAACGCGGGAATCAACGCGACAAGAGTGGCAAATGAGAAAACTGCGGAAGTCGGACAGAAGAGGCTGAAAGCGAAGACGCAGGCGGTGATGCGGCGCCAGCTGGCCGAGTTGCTGCGATGCAGAGCCATGGTGGCAGTCAGCAACGGTGGACGTCTGAAGACGGCTGACTCGATGGCTTATGGTGGAGGTGAGTGAAGATGGCGGAGATGATCGTTGTCTAAGGGTAGAGAGGAGGTAATGCAAAGAACGCAGTTCAAATGGCGGGCGTTTGCATGAAAGTGAATGACGGACAGTGTACACCAGCTGACACGGTACTTGTGCCTCTCTCCTAAGCCCCGTCCACCTATGTTTTTTACGCATGATTAAAAGCAATTAGCAGTGTAGACGATCTTTTATTCAGTCGTTGTCAGTCATAAGCCCCTTCAAAGCTCCATTGATCATCATGGTTCGGATGTTACGTCTGCCAGACTGGTCCAGGGTATCTATCATTGGCGACCATGACAAGAACGCGCTGGATGGTCAGTGAAACATGAGCAGCCTCTCAAAAAAGAGGAAAGAAGGGCAAAAGGGTTTACATTGCATTGGAGATTTTACTAATAATTTCAGCGATGATAGGAGTTGGATCGTCTGTGATGGAAACGACGGTCTTATAAAACCTAGTCTCTTTTTCAAAAGATCAACGTCTGACTTGATGACACATCAACAATACCAAATAAGAAAACACAGCCATTCGGTCATTACATTATTCCTAGATAGTAAAAACATTGTAATTACACGACTCTTGCAATGCAGCTGGCGATGCGCTAAGCAGAACACGCGTATTGTTTCATGTGGAGAGTGGCTTGGTCGCTGAATACGCGTGTTCTCACCACCTCCCCATCACCACCACAGCAAACGCATCCTCCCACGACACATTTCTGCGCTGCTGCCACGATGCCCGAGAGTGCCCGCACCACGCGCCGACGCACGCGCAGCAGCCAGGCCGTCTTCAAGCCGCGGCGCTCCCACCGCAAGTCGCGCAACGGGTGCGCCGAGTGCCGGCGGCGCCACATCCGCTGCGACAAGAACCGGCCCGTGTGCCTGCACTGCGGCACGGGCGAGCGCGCCTGCGAGTACCCGACAGCAGCGGACGACTCGGACGGCCATGTCTCGGGGCCTGCTGCGACGAGCCCCTCGGATACTGCCACGGCGGGACCAACAACTCCCGCCGACGAACGCCCGGCCGCCGCGCCCGACGACGTCTTCTCCGCCACGGACCTCGTCATCTTCCACCACGCGCAGACGGCCATGCAGCACGTCGGCCTCGGCCGCAAGGGCCAGTTCCACAAGGTCCTCGCGCTGGGGATGCGGCACCGCGCGCGCGCCCCGTACCTGCTCGACCAGCTCCTCGCGCTCGCCTGCGTGCACCTGTCGTTCCACCTGCACCAGTACACGACGCCGACACCGCCCGCCGCGTCCGTATACGCCGGCCTCACCGCCTCCGGCCTGCGCCACCACGCCACCGCGCGGCAGACGCGCGCCGTCGCCGCCTTCAACGCGCACGTGCGCCAGGTCTCGGGCGACGTCGACGTCAACAGCGCGCGCTTCCTCTTCGCCGGCGTGCTCAGCCTGCAGTGCCTGGCCGAGACGCTCAGCGTGCTGCGCGCGGCGCCCACCGCCGACCAGCACCCGCTCGGCTTTGGCGACTTTGTCGACAGCGTCGTGGCGTGCTTCCAGCTGCACGCCGGGGTGCGCGTGGCCACGGGCGGCACGCTGCGCGAGTTCCTGCCGCAGTCGGCCGAGCTGCGCGACATTATGGACTTTCTGCACGTTGCGGACGCGGGCGACGATGACTGGAACGCGCAGCCGCGCGGGCGCGAGTGCGCCTCGCTGCTGGCGCTGCTCGCGCGCGGCGAGTCGGACATGGGCGTCCGCCAGCCTGGACGCGTGCCGCGGCGCGGCGAACAGCCTGCAGTGGTCGTTTGACATGTGCCACGGGCTGGCGGTGCACGACGGGCCGCACGCGGCGTCGGCGTTTGCGGTCACGGCGCCGGCGGGGTATGTTGAGGCCCTGCGGCGGCGCGCACCAGAGGCGCTCGTCATCTTGGCGTACTATGGCGTGCTGCTGCACCGCTGCCGCGAGTGCTGGATCTTTGGCGACGCCGGCGCGCGCATGGTCCGGGCTGTGGCTGACCATGTCGGGGCGTATTGGAGGGAGGCCATGCGCTGGCCGCTGCAGGAGACGTGCGGAAGCTGACGAGGCTTTTTCAGGAGGCGGGAATGCAAATGGGATAACTGAGAAGCTGGCTGCTGGTGTCGCGGGCGGTGTATACACGCGGCACGGCACGCACACAGCCGCTGTCTGGGAACGCGCGGTTTCCCCCGCCGCGAGGTAATGCGTTTACGTCACCCGTCTGATGTGACGCAAACAACTAGCGCAGGTTCTCTTGGCCGTTTTGCCGGGAAAAATGGTGGCTATGGATCTTTGCCGGGATCACCTCGTATTACAATGCGGAGGCGTTCCGATTGCCGCCCGTACCGCCCCACGTCTCATGCACAGAGGGAACCGCAGGTCTACGCTCCGTGTGGTGTCGGGGAAAAGAGGGCATTCGGAGCAGATGCGTGCATGTTGTGCGTAGGTTGGTGTGGTTGAGGTGAGGGCTGCTTGCGGAGGTTATACGAAGAGGCGAGGCCGCAGACTGCCGTTGGACTTGATTATGCGGCAGTCTAGTATAGTGCAGGATGTCCGCAGGATCGATGACAGAGCCTTATATTTGTTTGCTGCTGCCAAGATGCAGCTTCATGTTGTCTTGATGGCATCCTACTAACAGTGTAGACGCCGTTGTAGTAGAGTATTTATATGCTCAAGACAAGTATCAATTAATATTCAATATAGTAGAAAAATGTGTACGCATGCAGACCCATGCTGTGCTTATGCCGCAACAACTCGATATAGCAACACCTCGTAGTAACTCACGCACCATCATGTCTAGCGCGGCTACACCAGAACGTGGTAATAGCTCGGCGGCCTAAAAGATGCTGTCCTTTAGCTGCGCCTCCCACCTTGCCCTTTGCGCCTCCCATTCCGCCGCAATGGCATACGTTTTGCTGGGCAAGTCAGCTATACCCATCTGACACGACCCAAAGACAACAGACGACGACGACGACGATGACGACTCGGAAGGGCCAAGACCAAGGCAAAAAAAAATCCCCACACAATGTCCAAATCCCCGAAATGCCCCGCCAGCTCGTCGGCCTCCTGCCCCTCTACACCATTCCTCCTCCACCAAACGATCAAATTTCGGGTCGTTTGCGACTTTTCTTTCCTTTCATTTTCGGCCAGCGCGGGAGGTCGCGTTGATGATACGTTTCTGATTTCTTTTTCCCCATGCCCGCCAACGCCCACTCGTAGGAGACGATGAGGAGAAGAGACGTGCTGCGACTGACCAACGCGACGCGCTCCGCACGCACACCCCCGGCCCACGACAGCCGCCGCCCGCCCCCAACGAGATCCAGACTCGACTTTGCTTCTTCCTGTGCGACCGGGTTTCCGTGTCGCGCACACACCATACCCCGATCCTTTGTCTTGTCCACCCAAAGCGAGCCCAGCAAAACCCCCGGGCCATGGACGACCCCGCACCGGCGTCCACCGCACACAGCACGCCGCCTCCTCCTCCTCCCGTGCCGTCCTCGGATCCCAGCCTCGCCGTCGCCGCACCGCAAGACCTCTTCCAGCTGCCCGCCGTCGACGCCCTGCGCCTGCTCAGCGCCAGCCTCGAGCGCCTCGTCCGCGCCACCGGCGACGTCCCGCCCACGCCGCCCCCGCGCATGCCCACCGACCCGCAGCTGTCC